TCTCCCTGTAGCCCCAGCTGTCCTGGAACTCGCTATGTAGACCAGGCTGGCCTTGAACTCACAGAGATCCGCCTGCCTCTGCCTCCCAAGTGCTGGGATTAGAGGCGTGTGCCACCACGCCTGGCTGGTAGCAAATTTTAAAGTACACCAGCTCCTTAGTGACCTTCACACACATTCTTTGAGCTTTCTTGAACTAGCACTAACCCACTTTCTTCTCTGCCCATTGCCTCCCAGATATATGATGAAGCTATTTTTGTTGCCATATTGTAACATGAATATTTATATGTTAGCCTCTTCAGTCTTAGCAATTTCCATTCCAAAAATGCCTAGTGTGATGCTTTGTGCATCACAAAGTATGGTTTAAAGGAACAAGGTCTTGGCCCTTGTCATAGCAGTTGAATGTGCATTGAAATATTTTTCTATGATTTTTTTTTAAAATCACAATAGAAAACAAGCAAAGTGTTCTAACCTATATGGTCTTAACAGTTTATGTATTTATATTTGAAACCAGATTTCTATAACTTGTATTTGTGTACAGAACTCTCAGTGGGTTTATATATTATGAAATTTTTATTCAAGATTGTATGCTTAACAGTAAAAGATGACCATTTGTTTAAAATGCACTGTGCAAGTTTGGAAATGTACATTAATAACTTACTGTATATAATACCTTGAGTTTGTTTATACCTCCAAGTTTTTACACTGAAGATAAACTAGCTTTAATTAAATTGAGAAATTTTTAAGGGAATAAGCTGTTAGGCTGAGTCTGTATAAGTGCGCTGTTTATTTTCTGGATGCATAGTGAAGGTTTATACTCATGTTTCACTGCATCATAAGTGATGGCAGAAATTAAAGCACAACTTACAAGTAGTACTGTATTTGGTATTGTTGGTCTGATTCATGGAGTAATCCTCGTTCGTTTAGGACATGGTAAAGATATCCTGTATCCTGGCAGGCCCTACAGTAGACATGGACCTCAGAGGAGCTCAAGGCTCTGCTTCCCTGGACACTCTCTCCCCCCACCCCACCCCACCCCCGCTTACACATGCACATGAACACTCATGTATGGTTGGCTAGTGATGGGGAACCAGCATCCAAACAAATATTTAAAATTCCAGATAGTAATAAAGATCCATGAAGAGGGGTTAGGTGAGATGGCCCAGTGGGTAAAGGTGTCTGCTACCAAGCCTGATGACCTGAGTTCAATTCCCAAGACCCAAATGATGGAAGGAAGGAACTGACTCCCAGAAGTTGTCCTCTGACCTCTACATATACCCTGTGTCATGTGTACACCCTAAATAATTTTTTTTTTAATTTAAAGTGCTATGGAGAAAAGTAAAACATGGTTAGGAGGACCTCTAAAGTAAGGAAAAGAGCTTTTTATTTTTATTTTTTGGTCTTTTTTTGAAATAGGTTCTCCCTGTAGCCCCAGTTGACCTGGAACTCACTATGTAGACCAGGTTGGCCTCAAACTCACAGAGATCCGCCTGCCTCTGCCTCCCAAGTGGGACTACAGGCGTGCGCCACCACACCTGGCGAGAAGGGCTTTTATACAACCCCTGAAACTAACGCTGCTTTTTTGCTTTTATGGGGCTGTGCAACATAATTCTATTATTTCTTGCTGGAAGAGATCTGAGTTTGTGTAAAGCTAAAAGAGGCTTTGTTTTTCCCTTTAGAGGGGATAAGTGAACTAGCCCAGAGTAAATGACCTAGGAGAATAGGATTTTATCTCATTACTTCTGTTTAATAGTTCTTAGCTTGAGACTTGTCACTTGTGTTTGTTCTGAGAAGTTTCCTTGACCTGTCCTACTTGCTTGTCCACACCCTATGACATCCTTCCCTGCCTGGCCAGCCTCCTCTTCTGTGTCCATATAGCCAGCCCTGAAACACCCTGGAATTGAATAAGCTCTCACTGCTGCCACGTTCCTCCTGGACTTCTTTGATAATTTGTATTGAATTCCTAACTTTTTTTAAAATTAAATTTAAATATTTTAATTACTTGAGAATTTCATACAATATATTTTGATAATATTTCTCCCTCCCCACAACACCTCCCAGATCCATCCCCATCTTCCTACCCACAAACTTCACATTCTTCTTTTTCTTCCCTATTGTGTACAATATGTGTTGACCAAAGACACTTGGGTCAATAACCTGACCTGGAATGTAGTCTAGAGCAAGGGTCACACTCTTATAGAAAATTTATTCTTCCTGTCTCCACAACTACCATATGCCAACAGTTCTTCATCTAGGCCTGCTTATCTTTCTTGCTCCACGTTAGGATTTTATCTGACTTGATCTTGAATGGGTCTTGTACATACTGTTGCAATTGCTGTGAGTTTGTGAACTAACCTGCTGTGTGGAAAACACTGTTTCATTGTAGTCATCCACTACCTATGGCTCTTACAATCTTTTTTTCCCCAGTTATTTATTTAATAACCACATACTTAGAAGAAGCATTT